TATATATATATATATATATATATATATATATAGTTAATATTAGTGGTAAATATACACATACATATGTGAAATATATAAAAATATATATACATAGGTGCATACACATACATATATATTTTTTGAATAAAAAATTCCAAGAGGATAGAATATGATAGGTGGCCACTCGTATTTGAGGATACTCGTCTATTACCCATCTAGCCAATCCCTATTGCAGACACTCGCTCAGGCCCATTTGTGTTTGTTCAGCATCCACAGAGCCCACCTGTGATTTATACTGCAACTATGCTGAGCAGACCTTAGTTAGACTTCCTGGGAGATAGCGTGTTATCTTGCGTGATCAACAATCTGAACAAGGCCAACACACTTAAACCCTCAGTCACGAAGACTTGTGATTTCGTGCTAGCACAGCTATCGAAGCACCCCCCCCCCACCAAGTAGTCCGTCTACCAAATTTCGCTCACAAGGCTTGTGTCAACCCATGGTATGGTTTTCAGGCACTTTCCAAAGGTGCCACACGCTGGGATCACCTCTGCCCTACTACAGACTGATAACATCAGTAAGTCTCCTTCCTGATAAATCAACCTTGGTGAGATTATATATATATATATATATATATATATATATATATATTATGAAATGGACTACGTTCAAAAATTATTTGAATATATTTTCTCTTTGTACGTTATTTTTATTAATACAAATATTTAAGTAAATATAAACCAAAAACGTAAAGGCCGGTATATAAAGTTAATACTGTTTTTTATAAACATACGATTTACTTAAATATTTGTAGCTCTAAAAATAATGTATAAACAGAAAGTATATATATATATATATATATATATATATATATGTATGTATGGCGCTGAAAATTTTTGTAGCCGACTTATTTACCAAAATCTGAAAAAATGACGAAACAACAAATTTTTAATTGTGTATCATTTTTCAGCACCCCTTCGTAGTTCTGTCTACAAGCATGCGTGTGTATGTGTTTATGCATATGTATGTGTTTGTGCATATCTATGTGTGTTTATGCGTGCGTGTTCATAATTTTGCTGATTGTTTTTTCTAAACTTCTTCCGTAACCATAGCAACCAAATTCATGTTTCATTTTCTCCAGTGAGCAAACCGTGAACCCGTCGACTTATGGCAGCCGTCGGCCAGAAGATGTTTATGGACAGTTGTAGTTTGGCAAGGAATCATCTTTTTGTTTGAGTATGGGAACGATTTGATGGCATGGCGGGGTTAAGGGGGAGGCGTCAGAAATAGTGGACATGTTTGTCCATTTTTAAAACGATGGAAACGTCTGTTGGAAAGAAAGGTTGGGAAAAGCCAAAACGAAACGAAGTGGAACGGTGAGGTTCGGTCGCTGCTGAAGAAATATGGCGGTGAAAGAAAGAAAGAAAGAAAGAAAGAAAGAAAGAAAGAAAGAAAGAAAGAAAGAAAAAGAAATAAAGAAAGGGTATTAAACAAAATAGAAAGAAGATAGTGTAAAAGAGATTTAAAAGAACTTAGAACAAAAATCACAATGACATAAAAAGCAAAGAAAGAAAAATATTTGAAATCAGAAGAAAGAAAGAAAGAAAGAAAGGAAGAATGAAGAAAGAAAGAAAGAAAGAAAGAAAGAAAGAAAGAAAGAAAGAAAGACAGAAAAAGACAGAAGAACGAAGAGGTGACGAGGAAAAATCGAAAATGAAGAGGAAAGAAGAAGGAATTCTGAAGTAATTTCAGAGAAAAATTACTGAGGTGGTTAAATAAATAAATAAATAAAGAAAGAAATAAAGAAATAAAGAAAGAAAGAAAGAAAGAATATCGGAAACATAATGATATTTTTTATCAAACTCATCAGATAAAAAAGAAGAAAAATTAGAAAAAAGATTGCTAGAAATTTTCAGAAAAGAGAGAAAGAAAGACATAATTGGTGAAAAGAGAAAAGAAAACAAGAAAATAAAGAAGAAAGAAAGATAGATTGAATTATGAAATAATTTATGAAGAAGACGTTGAAGGAGAAAGAAAGAAAGAAAGAAAGAAAGAAAGGAAGAAAGGAAGAAAGAAAGAAAGAAAGAAAGAAAGAAAGAAAGGCGAATAAGTGGGTAATAACGAATGTAAGAAAGGGATAAATAAAAAAAAGAGAATTATCCTTCTTCAATTTCTTCCTCAATTTGACAAAACCTTTTTATTGGCTTCCCCGATTAACTTCGAAATCATTCACCAGATTTGAAATAATGTTTTCTCCTTCTTCGCCATCAACTGAATATTTTTTTTAAAATGCCAGCTCCACAAATCTTTTTTCCACTTTCTTTTTTTCACTTTCTTTTTTTCACTTTCTTTCATTCTTTTCGTTTTTAATGTTTTTAATCAAATCATTTTCTATCAAATTTCACTCCAGCGATCTTGCCCCCTCTTCGTCCCTTTTACATTCAAATATTTTTCGCCTCAATACGACCAATACGAGGCACGGTGGAGAAATGGATATCGGCTCGGATTGAGAAACTGGAGAGCCGAGCTCGAATTCCAGTCGAATCTATTACATTCACTTTTGTGCTAATAACCCTTGGAAAAGTATGAATCCTCTTCTCCCCACAGCCATGGGTAAATAGCAGGACAGACCGGATTCTATAGCCTTGGATTGCAACTGGTCTACCTCAGATAGAAATGGCAACCAACTGCTGGAAAAATCTGCTTCGTCAGTCATATATCGAAAGATACATGATCGTGTATCACACATGGCACATAACTGACTGATAACCAAACGCTCACAATAACATTTAATCTGGATGAACGGTATATCTATCTATCTATCTATCTATATATATATATTAAATAATGCCATATTTATTCTCAGATGCTATTAGAAATTTCAATAAAAATGCAGAAGATTATCTACGTATATTTCGAGGGAATTATTTTAGGAACGGTACCACGAAAACCAACAGTATGCCTGAGATATATAGATGACACCTTCATACTCTAGCCACACCAGGAAAATGTATGAATACTGTTGGGCCATGTGAACTCAATAAAATATTCGATCCAGTTCACAATGGAAGAAGAAAATAACAATCAGCTAACCTTTCTGGATGTACTAATAACTCCCACGGAGAATCGGTTCAAAAATATGTCGCAAGCCAACATTCACGGGGCAATGCCTCAACTTCAGTTTCCATCATCCATACAATATGAAGAAAAAGGATTGATCGATCCTTACAACACCGGGCAAAAATTCATCAATGGCGACCCAAACTCATACCATCAAGAAATGATCAACATCAACTGTACACTTCATAATAACAACTACCCGGAAAACATGACATCATCGTCAGCAGGTGAGAACAGACAGGATAAGGAAGATGACCAGGAAATTGCTACGGCCTGTCTACCGTACGTCAAGTCCTAATCGTAAAAGATCCAGAAGATTTGCGGTCTATACAACACCAGGATAATATTCAGAAGCAGTATTTCTACATAAGTCTATTGATAATAGCATGGACTGAATATCTGAGTAACAAGGATGTTTTAAGGATAACTGCAACAAAATCTTCTACTTATAATCAGAAAGAGACAGTTGCAATTTCTAAAGCATAAAATAAGGAAGCGGGGCTTGGAGAATTTGACACTCAAAGGACTTACTGAAGGCAAGAGGGTCATAGGAAAGCAAAGAATAAATGTAAATTGTTTGCAAAAGCGAGATTAAAAGGGATCTCAAAAAAGCAAACTTTACTAAGGACGTGAAGTTGTGGAGAGCCATGATCGCCTATAACCTGAAGGAACACTGTACACCAAAGAAAAGTAAGATATAACGAGATGATTACAATATACAACTTAATTCAAGCTAAAGAAAACACTGATTATCCTACCTAAAAACATTTTCTAGACTTTATATTTTTCAAATGTTTTCAGAGCATTTTTTACACATATCTTCTTTACAAGATCATTTTCTGTTGAAAACCAAAGAATTTAATGTCTTGGGGCATAGATGACCGCAAGTTGGTTTATATAAGCTTTAGTTTTGAAAGATCACAAACACATAACATGATGGCGTCCTTGGCCTTGATGGTGCTACAGGCGACTGAGTAGCCAGCCCTGTTTCTGTGTTATTAAACAGAATAGTTATCGTCTAAAGGTCAAGGTAATTCACGAGTGTTTACTAAAGCATATGCGCCCATAGGCGTTTTTCCTTATATAAGAGAAATCAGGTTCGAATCCAGACAATAAACTCTTTGATAAATATTTTCATGAAACCCATGCCGGTAGGCGCTAGTTATTCTGTTTAGAAACATAGTAATCTACTATTTGATTGTTGGAAATTCTATTATAAATATGTATTGTTGGTAAATTTTTATATAAAAATTATAGCTGATATTTTTACTATGAAAATATAAATTTATACTTTTATAATGTCTTGTTTCCGTGGGGGACTCATTATTTGCTCATGACTGGGACCCTTACAGGTGCTAACACCTCGAGTTAGGGTGAACCTGAAAACATCAGTAATTAAGAGGTGTTCTACGCTCCTCAAAATTTCCAATCTCCCGATCAGAGGCCGTGCTGCCGGATGTAGTTAATCGTCATACCCAGGTATTTCAAATATTTATAAATGTTATATTATCTCATCTTTTCTCCCTAATATATATATATATATATATATATATATATATATATATATATATATATATATATATATATATATAATGATACTGTTACCTTTGGTTATTCATAAAATGACATAATTTAACGTATATTTATGTGAACAGAATTTCTGAAAATAATATTAAATGATTTTATCGTTGTCAACTCTGCTTCGTAATTTATAGTAATTCTAAGATTCAGAATTTATATCAATATTTGATTAATTGATTTCTTTTTACTGCTTATCAACCTTTTGCAAATTATTTGAAAAATAAAACCAAAAAATATTTTTAGATTATTAGAATTTGGGGGAAATAATAATGATTTACTGATAAATAGTCGTGCTAAATAACCCATAGGGAGGTGGATTCATGCTTTTCCCAAGGTTGAATATAACGAACCTGACTAGAATTGGAACACTGCTCTATCTATCTATCTATCTATCTATCTATCTATCTATCTATCTATCTATCTATCTATCTATCTCTTCATATGTGTGCCTATCTATCTATCTATCTATCTATCTATCTATCTATCTATCTATCTATCTCTTCATATTTTCTCTTTATATCTATCTATCTATCTATCTATCTATCTATCTATCTATCTATCTATCTATCTATCTCTTCATATGTCTGCCTGTCTATTCATCTATCTATCTATCTATCCATCTATCTATCTATCTATCTATCTATCCCATTCTGTTCATATCTATCTATCTATTCATCTATCTATCTATCTATCTATCTATCTATCTATCTATCTATCTATCTATCTCTTCATATGTCTGCCTGTCTGTCTGTCTGTCTATCTATCTATCTATCTATCTATCTATCTATCTATCTATCTCTTCATATTTTCTCTTTATATCTATCTATCTATCTATCTATCTATCTATCTATCTATCTATCTCTTCATCTATCTATCTATCTATCTATCTATCTATCTATCTATCTATCCCATTCTGTTCATATCTATATGTTCATATCTATCTATCTATCTATCTATCTATCTATCTATCTATCTCTTCATATGTCTGCCTATCTATCTATCTATCTATCTATCTATCTATCTATCTATCTATCTATCTATCTATTTTTCTCGGGGTTCCTATCCATCTATTTTCCTTCATTTCTATTCATAGACATCAATTGATTTATCAATTTCTTTTTCAATCACTTCCTCTTTCCTTCTGTCAAATCATCTTTCTTTGCATCCTTTCAAAAATTTTAACAGAATTTTCTTATCTCTCTCCTGCCTCTCTCCTGCCTCTCTCCTTTCACAATACTCTTTTTTGCATTCTCCCTAATCTCCACAAACGCTTACCTTTGTATTCTTTATTTTCGGATCTTATAAGTCCACATTTTTCCTTCTACATCACTTCAGCTGTTCTCCTCTGCTTCCTGACCAATTTCTACAGTTCCGGGCCTTTTCTTACCACCCCACATCGTCGACCCCGCACGAGTCCCCTCTGAGACAAAACACGCAAGTGAATTTCTTTCCATCACTCTAAGAGTCAGTCAGTGGAACTTCGCTAAGTACAACGGATGCAAACTTTTCAGTCGTGACTGACTCTACACGGATAGGTTTGCGTTCACATGGACGTATTCCTAAGTCTACATTCATTGCATACACATATACCTACACACAGAACAACACACAGAACAACACACACACACACACACACACACACACACACACACATATATATATATATATATATATATATATATATATATATATATATTCTGTCAGTCCGTTACTAAATCGGATTTGATACAAACAAAAATACAGAAAAAATATAAGATTTTATGTTCATGGAAATTTTACAAACGCCGGTTTGAACTATGTTAGGGAAATCATGGCAACGCCTTTGAAATTTACTCAGCTCTTGATGGATTGAGTCATGAATTGACAACTACCAAGTCTGATGAAAAAAAAATGGGATTCTCAAAAATCGTTTCCAAAATGTCTTTTCTTTTTCTTCAGCAAATTGTCCTTTTGTTCTGAGATAATCCCTACAAATTGAAATTGTTTTGTTTTTTTATTATTTCACTCCAAGCAAGTTAATGAAGCCACTAGTACGAAAGGCGTTAGTTACTGGGTGTTAAATAATATGAGAAAAACTATTAAGAAGATAGGACAATAAAAGAACAAGAATAAAGAAAACAGAAAATAACGCTTGACATTACGTTTAAATTTTTGAAAACCAGAAGAGTGTTTCACAATTTAACTGGTGGGCATGGAACCGGAAGTGAGTTCCACAAGTGAGATGTGCAACATAATAAATTGTTAGCATAGAACTTACAGTTACTTATAGCTATTTCAACTGTAAAATGATGACACCTTGCTGCCAAACTAGTACTGCGCTTAAATTCATAAAGTCTAGTTACCATAGAGGAAATTTCATCAGAACCATAAAAATATTTACAGGAAAGTTACAAAGAAGTTACGTTACGGCGGTGGTAATTCTAGATATGTAAAAAAAAAATCATAGAATTTCTTAAATCTATACTACAGGCAAAATGTTTGGGGTTTGTTTAAAAAGATATATTTGTATTTTTTTAAATAAAAGATAACGTTTCCCTAACTACAATGTATTTGCATTTTCCCCATCCTCCTCTTTATAGCAGAAAGTTCAAATTTGGATTCGTCTATACACAATACATTTTTCCTAAATTATGAATATTTTGTATGAGAAACATTATAGTTTGTTTTCACCTTTCACCCCTAAGTAGACATTTTGAGATTACCAAAAGTTAAATGTGAATAATGGTTCTAAATGTTAACTCTGCTGACTGATGCTGCAAACACAATATCTGTAGTTGTTTCTTTTTGTGAGATGAGGATGATTTTGAGCGCTCGTTTGTGAATATGATGACATAAAAGCTGGACAGAGTACTGCGAGACAGTAGGATTTCTTTGGCAACGAAGAAAAGAATACTGAGCTGTTACGTGACATCTGTTCTTCTTTACGGCAGCGAATGCTGGACGATTTTCTCAAAGATAAAGAAAAATCTCGAGGCAACGGTGGTGTGGTTGTACAGAAGGATGCTAAGGATATCATGGACCAAGCGTGTGAGCAACGATGGGGTCATGCAAACAAGATATACTTAACATCAGGAAGAAGCAGCTGAAGTTCCAAGGACATAATGAGGAAGGGGGTGTTGATACTCACGGGTCGAATAGAGGAAAATAAATAGAGGGGAAAGCAATGCATGACATACCTAGCGACCTTAAGCAAGTGGATGAGAGAACGTGGTCTGGGAGAGGTGGCAGAGGGAAGGAACTTGTTGAGAGCTGGAAGGGATAGAGGGAGGTGGAGAACCGTTATCGCCTACGTCCTGAAAGTGCACGGCACATAGAAAGAAAAGTGGTTGCGAGTTCAATTCCTGGTTCGGGCAGTGTTTACTTGCACTCAGTGGGAACGGGCGAGCATTAACTGAACAATGCTAAATAAAAAATAAGAACTGGACGAGATTTCCCTAGACATGAGCAGTGGAAGGAGAACAGTCTGCTCCCGTAGCTCAAATAAACGGTTCAGTTCGGAAACGTTACCCAGATCAATATACACCTGAGGAAAACCTCAGGGTACAGCGACCGAAACGTTGCGATAAAAACAACAAAAAGATGAGAAGAATTATCCGAATACAAACACTTTAAATAATGCGGCTGTCTGTGTTTTAATGGAAAAAATATGCCATTACGACAATATATTCATATATATATATATATATATATATATATATATATATATATATATATATATATATATATTATTTTCACAACCCCTTTAACAGGGTTGGATCATCAGACTTTACTTCCAAAGATTGAAAAGGAAGTAAAGTCTGATGATCCAGAGCCCTGTTAAAGGGGTTGGTGAAATAACTTATTACATGGAACCTTAAAGTGGTCTGTTTTATTCAAACATATTTGCTCTGAATTTTACATTGAGCTCTCCGGATATCATCGTCCCTGGGTCTACCCATGCGGATTACCTAGTTTTGCATAAACTAACTAACTAACTAACTAACTATATATATATATATATATATATATATATATATATATATATATATATATATATATATAATTTTGAAGTAATTTGCACAAAATGGCAGCGTCAACCCGAGGAGTGGACTGGTCCTACTAATGTTTTATTTCAGTTTGAATGTTTAGTTAAATAGCATTAAATTTTTATATATTTTTGTAAAAAATTGAGAAAATCAGAAAAAAAGAAATTTTGTATGATATGCAATTTTTTATATCATAGGATTTTTTTAGGTTCTCTTTGAATATATTTGAATGATGATGGATGAGGTCTTGTGGTGAATGAGTAAATTGTAATGAATGAATGGGTCGTGAATCGGATTAGCTAGGTTTAGGATAGTAAGTGTTGATCTGCCTTCGGTTATGTGCCAGAGTTGTTAAAACATTTAACAATAAATCAAACAATAGAATCATACATTACACCGCTTGCACATAAAAGGTTACAGAGCCTAGTATTCTCAAACAGCCAACCATTTAGGTACTAACCGGTCTCGACGTTGCTTAACTTCGGTGATCGTACGAAAACCGGTGTTTTAACATGATATATCCGTAAACCTTTTTGAAAATGGCGCTTGAATTCTGAAGAACATGTAAAGATTAAGAAAAAACACAGAATTTAAAAATCATATATTTTGGCCAATGAATCGACAACTCCAAAGAATTCCACCTTCTAAAATGACGAATAATCATGCGTATGTTTCTCTTTGATATTTTGTTCTTTTTCTTGTCATATAACAATTCCTAAATGTGTAATATTCAATATCAAAATTATTTGATTGGCTGTCAATCTAATAATGTTGGCTTCTCGTTGCAAATATTTTCACCAATAGAATCTAAATTGGTTATGCATACAGTCAAGTCCAAAAAGAAGAAAATAAAGACAGGTGTAGATCTTGGACGTTCGAATCTAAATTTGTTAAAAATATCTTCTTGAAATTCCCTCGCAGATTTCTTTTCTTATACGGGAAGACATGCAGTCAGCATAACAAATTTTGCCGGTCATCTCTCCAATCGACAACATCGCAAATAAAATCGAAAAAAAAAAACACCCCAAAAACTCGTAATAAAAGTAAACAATAATAAAATTCCTTCATTCGTAAATATTTAGATATAATTTCTTTATAGAATATATCTGAATGTATTTATTTATCTTTAGGAATATTTCCTTGCGAATAAAGTAAGTAGTGATAAAATTATCAAACACTAAATCTGTGCAGAATCTATCCAGTCTCGGCTTTGGTATAATTTAACATCTTACTGCCGTTACATGAACGAAAACTCTTGAATGGAGTTACTCAACATTGAAATGCTTTTGAGTGAGCTTGTGTACTGTTTACAAGGTCTACTAGAACTCTAACTTCCTAAATCTGTACTTCACTACCTGCAACTTCTGCTTTTCCCCAAAGCTAAAACAAGTGTTAGAAAGTCGTCTAAATTAAGAAGAATGCAATGAGACTGTTTGCGATCCTGAAAGATGATTTTGTAATTTAAAATTTTGAAAGAATGGAATAAGTGTGTGAGATCTCAAGAGGAGTATTCTGACGAGGAATATGGTGTCATTGCCAGAAGTAGGCTATTTCCTGTTAATAATGAATCTTTGTATCTTTTTCCAGACAGACCACTTATGATGACATTTTAATTCAGTTTTGTTTTATCTCCGGTTATTCAACATTTGTTTGCTGATTATGCCAAAGCAAGAAATTATTATTTCTTTAAAATATCCTCATTCGGCTTGAATAAAATTTATTTATGTTTGTTTATCAAGTGTGATCTCAATTTAATAAGTTCTTACAATTAAGGAAATTATTTAGATTCTTAAATAATGGCAAGCAGTAAAAGAAAAATCAAGTTCACTTCAGACATCAATTTGGACTCATATATCTGATCGATTGCTTAAAATGGTTAAAAAAGGTTCGCTCATTTTGCTGTTTGAAAAGTACCGGAATTTCTGATATTTTTACAAGAGTCAGGTGAAAGCAACAATGACGTATCTTTTGCAATACTTGAGTTGCTCAGTATTCAATTTCCATTTCAAAATCGTTTACTTGGAATTGTGGCTGAAAGACACCTTCTCATCTACGTACTGACCAGGCTCGACGTTGCTTAACTTAGGCGACCATACGGGAACCGGTGTTTCAAACGTAATGTGGCCATAAGCCGTGTATACTTGAAACTCATTGGCAACAGGGCGAGCCATAACTGAGCAGTGCTGAAAAAATAGTTAAGATATTCCCAGACATGTGGAGTGGGAAAAGAACAATCTATCCGCTTAGATTAAATAAATATCAACCAGTTTGAAATTCTCTGTAGGTTACCCGGATCATCAAACACCTGGCCGAAGGACACAACAGCCGAAGATGAGGAGAATAGTCCGCAGTGAGTAATGTAAATAATTTGATGAGAAATATTTAGCGATCTAGCAGAT